TGTGAGACTGGATGGTCAGTGCTTGTAAACACTGTCTCTGCAACAGGAGAGTTGTGCCTCCCTCCGCCTGTGTGTGACCTTTAGTGAGTCACTTAATCTTTCTGGGTCTCAATTTCCCCCCTCTGCCCAACGGAGCTCCAGAAATGAAGAGGGTGGCATGCTCTGATAGCGTGTTATGTGATAGCTCATGAAGCTCCTCAGACAGATGATAGCTGGGCAAACATCTCCCTGATATGGAGAGTGCATCTCCAGCCCTCCAGAGAGATCCCTGCCAGCGCTGCCTGGGGGGGAAAAGCCATTCCTCAGATGGAATTCCAAAATAAGCAAGTCAACAGCAAGGGAAAGTCCAGGCACCTCCCTCTATCCTCTCCAGAGCATCCCAGATGGTTCCAGGTGTGGCTCTCTCAGGGTGGGTCTGGAATTGAAGCCTACAAGGGTGACAAGGACCATGAAGGGCTTGGGACAAAGCAACCTTTAAGGTCCCTTCCAACCCAAGCCATTCCAGGATTCTGTGGTCCTTCAGAAACACTTGCTCTGCACACACCAAAGCATCTTGTGCAAAAAACAATGAAGCCTCATGAAAGGAACCAGTTTTAAAGCAGGAAACTGCTGGAAGAGAGATCTTTTCTTCTCCTCCATCTCTACCTCCCCATAATTTTGTATTAAACACACTCAGCTCTCAAGACATGGACTTCAGGCAAAGGTTTGTGGAAGGATGAAGGAAAAAGGCAGTGAGAACATGATAATTTTTTTTCCTAGGGTAACAGCAGCCCCTTTTAATTGTGCCCCTTGGATCTGTAAGACATGCTTGACCAGACATACCTCTGGAAGAGGTCAGCACTCCTGGGATTAAGAAACTTAGCAACGCTCCAGAGAGGGAGTTGGAAAGTCATGTTTAATGATACTTGGCTGAGAAACTGGGCAAATTTAATTAAAACATCACTTACTCAAGCCCAGTGGAACTAATTGAGTGCTCTAATATTCCGCCTTTTCATTAATGGGTTACAAAAGAGGGCTGCACTTGTGTGTACAAGGGGGAAAAGGGGGGAGGACGGAGAGAAGATGAGAGCTTTAGCAAGGCTGCCTGGGCTTCATTTAATATAACTCAGAAACTTCATTGCTGGCAATGGAGCTTTAATACAGTTGACTTCTCCCCCCAAAACACCCTCTCCACCCAAGACCCCTCGGAAAGAATGGCTGAATGAGGGAGAGTAGATCTGGCAAAGGAAGGGAAATTGCTTTTTTAATAAGTGGTCTATTCAGAGCTCCTGCTTTTCAATAAAGAGAAGGCTGGAGAAGTCTTGGTCTAATTACCTCATCCTCACACTAGACAAGCTCACCCTTTCATTAACCACTGAGGTCATATCATATAACTTGGTGAGCCACCACGGGCACAACATGTTCAGTGATTATTTCACTGGTGGCAGCAAAATTACAGGCAGCCCATCAAGGTTGTAAAAAAGCAGAAGTGAATTCATAATTAAATGAGAACGTCTACCAAGAGACACTAAAACTAGGCGGGATAGGATCATGTCACCCTCGCAGAAATACAGGGATTGTTTGCTGGTGTGACACCATGGAGAAACTGGTGTGGTGACCAGGAGGAGAGAGGGTTGCTTGCCAAATTAGTCAGTCCAGCACAGGTCCTTTTTTTTTTTTGCTGGGTCTCAAGGGACTATTTGTATGTTTTGCCATGGTTGGGAGTAATGAGATGGGAGAAATGACACGTAAAAAATCAGTGAGAGACCACCAAGCTTGTGCTGTATCATTGGCAGAGACTTCTCCACTCCCTCAGTGAACACACGCATCCACACACTGAGAGAACTTCAGCTCCAAACTGCTCAGCTCCAAAATGGCACAAATCAAGGCTGTCTGCACTCCTCTACTGCCTCTGATCAACCCCAAATCAAACCCAGATGAGTTATTGTTCCAATAACCACGCTAGGTGAGTCCAAAGGGGTTTCATTCTGCTGCAGTCACTGAGCAAACTTGGCTTGATAAAGGCAAAGTCTTTATGGAAGGAGTTGGTTGGTGGGCAGCCTCTTTGAAGGCACAGAAAACGTGTTGAGAATCATCTTTAACTCAGTACCTTCCTCAAGGGAAATATCCACAAACTCAGCAAGGAATGAAGTGGTGCTCTCAGCCTCCATCCCCTCATCCCTGCACTTGCAGTGGGAACAGGAGGAAGAACAGGGATCAAACCCAGTATTAATCCACACCTGAGAGCAAGCAGTGCCAAAGACAATCCATCCACCACATCAAGAAGGTCAAACTGGTTTCAATATTCTGGAATCTGAATTAAGCACTGCAAGTTTTGACTTTGTAGTCACAAAGTCAGGCTGGGTCCTCACTCTGATCATCATCTTAGTGACACCAAATTGTGCCAGGGGTTAAGAGCTGAATATCCCAACCATACAGATGTGTGTCCTCCTGATCTTCTACCACCACCCTCCTGAAAGTTTCCTCCTCAGCATTCCCTCCTTCTCTGCCTGGCTCCATGGTGGAGCTGTGAGCCCGCTGGGCTGCTTGGCTTGGCTTCCAACCACGCCATGGCACAATGAATTGTTATATCCAGCAGCACAGATAGAGAAATCATCTCAACTGCTGCTGCAAACAGGCAAAGGAGAGCTGTCACACAGCAATCCCAGCTTGACAGAGATGTTGTGAGTGGACGAAAATAGGAGCAGTGGATCACTGACCTACAGCAGAGGTCTGAGACCTGGGTTGCCAGGAGGGCTCTGGGTGTCTGGAAAGCCATCACAACTGTTACTCAGCTGTTCAGCTCCAGATACCACACTGAGAAACCACTGCTGGTGGCCACAGTCCCACTGTGCCAAGGGGAGTGCAGAGGATGCTGGAGAGTCCTGCATCTTCCCCTGGGAGCCAACTCACAAGGATCAGGACACAGAAGGGAAGGTTCAACCTCTCAGCTCATCCTTGGAGTTTAACTCAGAGCTGTGCAGTGTAGAGCACAGATGATAATTAAGGACACAAATCCTAAATCCAAGAGTGGCCTCAGCCATATGGACATCCTGACTGCAGCTCCTGGGATTGGGAACACTGGGAGTGGGGCCAAACCCATCTGGGAGGTTTTTACCCCTGCCACTGTTGGTGGATACCCCTGGAGCTACAAGGA